AGCCACAGGAACAACAACAACAACAGAGGTGCTGAAGCTTGGATGGATTTAGAGTCTATCATACTCAGTTATCTATCACAGAAACAAAGAACAGAGTACCACTCATAAAGGGACCCTGAACATTTACCATAAAACTGTAAGAAAGGGATTGACAGTAGCAGGATACTGTGAAGGTGGGGAGGGAGGGGACATAACATCAATAAGGGGAAAGTGGGGACCAAAGCGAGGCCCAAACTTTACCTGCACGATGAATACTTGTACACCTGATCTTGACTTGTACCCTAGATATTCAAAACTAAAAAAAGAAAAAAAGGGCTCTTAGTTCAAGATTAGGTAAATAGGGAAGGCAGGGCACAGGGGTCATGCCATTTTTGGTCAAAAACTGATAAACACTCAGGCCAGTGTGGGAAGGTGTGCTGGTAAATTACCTATCATGAAATGAGCAAACATGAAAGAATCTCCACATAAAATTCACTGCAGTAAAAAGCATCCTTTAAAAAATCACTAGCTGGTACACTGATGTTAATGACATTCTAGAACACTTACCTACTAGGGAAGCCTGTAATATGAGGTACCAGCCCTCCAAAATAATTCTGTTTATTGGGGGGTACCCCTCATATTTAGTTATAGATAGGTAAGATATGTATAAATGAACAGATAGATACAATTATTAATATGTGTGCAGACAGGTATTTCCTAGATATTCCTATTTAGATGGCTGAACAGCAATGGCTCCCCAGTAGCAATGAGAACACTCAGCATCCACATCTTGATTTCTAATGCATTTCTCCAATAAAAGACTGCTTAAAGCAGTGGCAGACTACTAGGCAGGGGTTGGGAAATTACAAGATGAGTCTGAAGGATTGTGTCATGGCAAAAAGTATGAGTCAGGAAGTGCTAGAAGAACAAAGGATTGGGGTCATATCAAACAAACAAAGGAGGTAACTTAAGAGGACACCTGCATTCTGTCACCAATTCTTCAATACTAACTGAGTGTCCAGCAACTAATGAAATTATGGCACTATTTAGTATTAGCACAGATCCCACAAGTTAAGTGGCATAAACTACAAATAAAATTCTAAGCCTCCCAGCAGACTGAATGGACACCCTCCTGGCTGAGGAGACCCTAGAAAAATCTAAAAACTGAATTTCCAGTCGTGATGATAAGGGAGGTCAGAGGTGTCTTCTTATATCCCCTCTCTTTTGGAGTTTAGGCACAACTGACCAGTATTAATTAAAATAGACATCAAAACACTGATAGAATAGTCTCTTCAGGTAAATTAGATACCAAATTATAAACAAAACCCAAGGCCATGCAATGCAAGGGTTTTAAGTACCACCCTACAAACCACACAATCTAGTTAAACAGAATCTTTATTTACCCAGTATACTGTGGGCTACTTTCCAACCTGACTCTGCATAGTATCACATGACAGACAGTAGACCCCTTACCTTAATTGAAAAATTCCTTTGTATTGATTTTGTCTAAAAATGAAAATGAAATCTTTCAACCAACTGCTAACTAAAAATTCCCTAGAACTTACCTCTGACTTGTAAGTTCCACTTTGAGACATCCCACATTTTGGGGCTGAACTATGTATGCCTTATAATTTGACCCACAATCTGTGTCCCCCAGAAATCTATAAAATCAAATTGTAACTAAACCTTCCCTGATGCACTTTCTCAGGACCTTGTGAGACAATGTTGCCCCAGGCCAATGTCACAGGGCAAAGCCCTTCTCAAGTCTTCCCCACTTCAGATGCCAGTTATAAGTATCAGGCATCTCCAATCCAAATGCCCTTTGCTAGGTTAAAGAGAAATTCAGGGCTTCCCACAACTCCCTCTTATTCAATAATTTGCTAGAATGACTCACAGAACACAGGAAAGTACAATACTAACACCATTTTATTATAAAAAATATCAATAAGCATTCAGATGAAGAAATGCATAAGGCAAGCACTGAAAGATCTAAGAGAAGACTTCTTGGAGAAGTGGCTGGTTCTTGGAAGGAGTAGGGAAATTACATGGGAGTATGGGAGCTTCTGCCCCTGTGGAGTCATGATGCAACAACCTCTTAGATCACTGAGCTCCCTCAAGCCTAAGTGTCCAGAGTTTTTATTGGGGATTAATTACCTAGGCATGATTAACTGAATCATCAACCATGGACTGAACTCAAGTTCCAGTCTTTCTTCCCTCCCTGGAGGTCTGGCAGCTAAAAATTCCAGACCTCTAACTACATGGTTGGTTTTGCTGGTGACCAATCCCCATCCTGAAGATATCTCGGGCTTCCTACTAGGAGACCTCTTATTACTATGACAAAGACATTCTTATCATTCAAGAAGTTTCAAAAGTCTTTGAAGTTCTGTTACAGAATACAAGATAAAGGTCAGATACATTTTTTAAATTATACCATATATTTGAATGCCCAAAGCTGCAGCAACTTAACTACTCAATGTAATTGCTTAGTGTTGAATTAGAACACAATAAAATAAAATATAAATGTGTTCATGCTGATATAAATAAGTAATTGAATAAATGGAAGACAAAAGACAAATCTCCCTTACTATTAACAGAAGCATGGCAAGTAATACGTATGAATAACTACTCCTCTAGTTGGTAGAGCTTAATTCAGCGCCTATCCACACAGACACACATACTTGCTTGTGTTTAGGCTAGGCTTAAAAACTCTCTAGCTCCATTCCAAAATAATGAAGTATGGAAAATAGAACATTGTAGCTTCATAGTCGAAAAACCTGGCAAACACTACCTTACCTGATCAAGAATAACCTCACTGGAGTTTATTCATATGAAGTGCTTAAAACTTCTGACATTAGATGATGTGATGAGATGTAATATTCTCCCTCATACCCATAAAATCAGTTCTACACATAGAAAAACAATAGACAAATTCAATTTTAGGGACCCTCTAAGAAATACTGAACCAGTACTCCTGAAACCTCCCAAAGTCATATAAAACAAAGGAAAACACAGAGCAGAACATACTGAGGAGGCAAGGTGACTATAATGTGGTATACTAATTGCTGCTGAAAGAGAAAAAAAAGCAGTGTAAAAACTGGTGAAATATTTTAAAAAGTCTGGAGTTCAGCTAATATAATTTACCAGTGTTGGTGTCCCAGTTCTGACAAATATGCCATAGCAAAATGCTAGCATCAGGGATACTAGGTGAGAGACATTTGGGAATTCTGTGTTAGCTTTGCAAATATTCTCCAAATCTAAAATTATTCAAAAATAAAATATTTACATTAAAAACATAACAAAGATGTACAGAAAATCATATTAAAATATTTCCAATGTTTGCATAATATCCCTTTTAATTCTTTTGTAGGTGTCTATTTTGCTCTCTTGGTGACTTCAATAACAATAAAACTCCTCATCAACATAATAAACTCATGTCTTTCAAGTCCAAATTGGTGCCCATCTACTGCTCCAAGATGAAGGTCCTTTCACAAATTTGTCTCCAGTTGAAATGAAAAAGTTCATATTGAAACCTTTTTTATGCCTGTGTACTCAGCTGCCCTCAAGACTTACTGTGGAACAACCTATTTTCTGAACATTCCAAAAATTTATTTATTTCCCACATATCAAATCTCTACTTACTTGTTGCTTTCTTTTTTTTTTTTTTTTTTTTTGAGTTGGAGTCTCACTCTGTCACCCAGACTGGAATGCAGTGGCCACTCCCGGCCACTGCAGCCTCCACCTGAGGGGACTCTGGCGATCCTTCCGCCACAACCTTCCAAGTAGCTGGAATTATAGTCGCGCGCTACCACACCCGGCTAATTTTCTGATTTACTGTAGAGATGAGGTCTCACCAAGTTGCCCTGGCGGGTCTCGAACACGCAAGTTCAGGCAATCCACTCACCTCAGCCTCCCGAGGCACAGGATTACAGGCTGAGCCACCGAGCCCGGCTTGCTTGTTGCTTTCTATCTGCACCCTTTGTAAAAGTCAGCTGACACATCTTCCCATGTTTCTTTTTGTCCCCTGTGGATTATTATTCAAACATTTACTTGAAAATATTTTAATATATTAATCTTCCCCAAAACCATTATCATATTCCAAATCAGGTGCAGTGCATCACTCTTTCAGGACGTAAGACAACGTATTCACAATCAAATTTCCAATGCCTACAGGAACAAAAATCTACTTTTTTTTAAGTTTCCCACAAAACATTAGCATTACAAATCAAGGGACATAGTCACCAACCATGGTTTCTTGAAAAACTACTGTCTTCATCTGTTTGTCCACTATAATGAAGTATCTGAAGCTGGGTAATTTATAAAGAAAAGAGGTTTATTTGGCTCTCAGTTCTGCAGGCTATACAAGAAGTAGGACACCAGCATCTAAATCTGATGAGGGCCATGGGCTTCTCCCACTCATGGCAGAAGTGTGTGGCGAGCGCATGGCAAGAGAGGAAGTAAGTGGCGGTTGCTCAGCTCTTTTGAACAACCAGCTCTGGCAGACACTAACAGAGCAAAAACTTACTCATTACTGCAAGGACAGCACCAAGCCATTCGAAGGGATCCTATCCCATGACCCAAACATCTCCCGTTAGGTTTCACACCCAACACTGGGAATCAAATTTCAACGTGTGGTTTGGAGAGGTCAAATACTAAAAAAAACCAACACATGATATTACCTTTTACATGGCTGTCCATACAATTTCAACATCTAAGGAAAGTTAAACATCTCAGACTGAACATAGCACAAAGACACTTCTAAGATCTGTACATTATTTCAGGACTACATTATGAGATCTACATTTATCTACTGCAACCATAAATTAAAATACAATATAAGTACTTACATATTAATTATATAACATAACATTTACTGTGCCCATTTATAGTTACTATTTCATGTTGTCCCAGGTTCAGTCTGTTGTCTTCACTCCTGTCTCTGCAGTAAAATGGGTTCATAATTGTCCTTAAGTTTCTTTGAGGTCTTATGCATCAAAGACTGAATATAATGCCAGACAGACAATTCACATTGTTCTGATGAGATAAGAAAATAGTGCATTTTTTCTGCAGCAGATACAGCAGAGTCTGGATATGTTGGGGTTGTGGAACATGAAAATAAAAGGGCTAATAGTTGGAAAACATGCAGTGATTAGTACAATAGTGTGCACCACCCACCAACTGAAAATATCAAAGACAGTTAAATAAATAAAGATGCAGGTGGAAAGGGCATACAATGCTACAAAGGTGCTCACCAAAGCAAGAATGCTTTGGGTGGCCCTGGTCTCAGGAGAGGATCTGGGGGAGACATTGGTCCTATGAATATATTGAACTTGCTGCCTGTGTCTATATAAGATCAAAATCATGGAGCTGCTGGCCCAGGTCATGAGCCCCAAACAAAGAATGTCATGGAAAGATGTCAATGCTGCATATAGTGAGGTCAGAAAATTGTCAAGAAATGGAGAACAATATCCTAAATCTCTTTTCTTTGTGATATTTTTGTTGTTCCACTTTTCAGTTTTATAAATACACAAAATGATATTTACCAGCAAGTGCAGGGCCCAGCACAGGATACTGGAGTGGCCAACATACTTGGGGGCTTTTATTTTAAGCTCTACCCACCTCCTGGAATTCCTAGGATTGATGGTGATCATTTGAAAAACACTCAACAGGCAGGTGACACCAATGGATACTCCCCTGGCCACCCTGTGAACATATAAAAGAACTTCACATCCAAAATAAGTGGCAAAACGTCCCAACCCAAAAGCTGCCATGGTCTCTGGAATTCCTCTAAAGAGAATGACCAAGGAGTTGGCTACAGTCAGGTGCCTGAGAACCAAATCTGTGCATTTTGGCCTGCATCCCTTAAAGTAAAGGGCCATATAATGATATAAAAGTGAAAAGTTCCCCAGGATTCCAACAACTACCTGGGATAGGAAGATCATTCCAAATTTCAAATCCACAGAGGCCATTCTGTCATTTCCCAGAACTCAATGTTCAACAAGCAGATGCTTCTGTGTGGAAATACGGGTTGTGGGTTACATTTTGATGGAAAATAACATTTCTGCTTACTATTCCTTCCCCATGAGAAATAAAAGCTAATATATATGTATACTTTTCTTAAAGAAATCTCCTGTTTCATGTGCTTCTTTTTATAGTACTTACAATGTATGAGTCATTTTTATTAATGCTTTACCTTTTCTAGCATTTAATATTTGCAACTCTGTGAGTTAAAAATTAATGTTATTCTCCTTTGACCAACTAGTAGGATATAATTACAAGGGGGTTAGGTGACGCATCTCAAACCTGACTGGAGAGTCAGAATTTGAATCCAGGGCACCTGGTTACAGTGACATGATGTTCAGTACTATGGTATACTATAACTGTTACTTAGTGTTGTTTTTAATACACATACACAGACCTATATATGTATAAATATCTTATCATAGCTCATATTTATTTTACATTACAAATTTCATTTGACAACTTCCCAGTTTTGCCTAAGTATTCAATAGATCAATATAAGTTATGAATAAATATTCAGAGGTTTTACTAAGTTATAGATGAACTGAATAATTTTATATGATCCAACTTTATTTAATGTGAATAAATGTTAGGGTGGTCAAAAAATGTATTTCATTTTTTGCAGGGACAAAAAGTACCATGGTACCCATCACCAAAAAATGTACAAAATTGGGTTGTGTACTAAAATAGGATAGATACAACAAGGGTACCTGCATGATCAATGTTTGTATACATAATCCTTAATTGTACCCTACATCTTTATAATAAATAAATTAATTAATAAAAAATAAAAATAAATAAAATAGGAGACATAAAACATAAAAAGCCATAAGTATTTTAGGGTAGAAAATAAATTAATCTTGTCTAAAGATTAAATAACTATATGTTTCTTATTTTTAAATAATCAACTGAAACCTCAATTAAATTTGATAAGAGAACTGTATTAAAATACAACACAAATGTGCAAAATGAAATTTGAACGATGAAATCTGGTGCATTTAAAATTGAGAAGTGAGCTTGCTAACAATATTAAAACTTTTTTTTTGAGTTGGAGTCTTACTCCATCACCCAGGTTAGAGTGCAGTGGCACACTCACAGCAACCCCAGTGTCGACCTGCTGGGCTCCAGTGACTCTTCTGCCTCAGCCTTCCAAGTAGCTGGAACAACAGGTGCACACTACCACACCCAGCTAATTTTTTATTTATTGTAGAGATGAGGTGCTGCCAATTTTCCTGGGCTGGTCTCGAACTCGTGGGCTCAGTCAATCCACTCACCTACTCCTCCCAAAGTGCTGGGATTACAGGCTAAGTCACAAGTCCGGCCTAAAACATTTTTCAAAAGAGAAAATATAGCAAAAAATATGTGAATCTTAAAATTGCTTTTTTCTGATGAGATTATAATTTTGGATTTATTTATTCTTTTAGAATAAAAGTTATTAAATTAAGTCAGTAATTGCTGCCAGAAACCCTCTATTATGATGTGAACTTTCTCCTAAAGGACTTTCCTGAATTTCAGGAAAGAAAATAGTCCCCCATGATCAACACACCACAAATATATTCAATAGAGATATATTTACTGTCTCTATTAAGCAAGTCATACCCATATTACAAAGTAACAATTCGATTCAACCAATTCCTATTTGGTCACACTGTTTTTGTTGCAAATTAGATATTTCAATTAGCGCCATCATATTCATTTGCCCATGCACAGAGCTTTTACAGAAATAACTATACTCCTGAAAATCTCTCTGAGTATTGTAGAGACATTATGCAAAATACTATTGTGCACAGAAGTATTGTGCTAAAGGGAATGGGAGATGAATTTCAAAATTACTATCTTAAAGCACATTAAAATTTAGACTTTGATAACACTTGCATCAAACAGCAAGAAGCACTGAACTAGAATTTAATTAAATTACGTTAGTAACAGTCATGGGTCAGTGTAGAACCTAAGGCCCCCCAGTCTCTCTCAAACTCAGCTCATACCTCAGGAATTAGTCCTTCTTCTGTGTAGTTCTACCCCTGGACCAATTTCTGCCCCAAAATAATTTCTTTCCCAGGCATGCATTCCTACCCAGATTCCTGATACACTTTCTCTTGTAGTTTGTGTCCCTCAGATTAAAACAGAAAACACCAGACCCCTTCCTGCCACCAGGACCATGAGTTCAGTGTGACAGTCATAACAGCCATGGCATATGTGAGAAAAAGGAAGCCAGAGCCCAAAATATGGATTTGTGATGCTGTGACTTCACCTCCCCACAGAACTGCAATTATCATGTCACCTGTAGCAGCCATGCCAGTTCACCCTTGGGGAGCTAAGAATAGTTCTGAAAAACTTTTGAATTCCCAGAGTCTATTAGAAATTTCTAATGAGCATATCCAAAGAGACCACTGGAGTGTTGGGGATATTTTTTTCATTATTCCTAAAAGCAGACAGGGTCTCTCATGGAAGGAGCAGAAAATCCTGAGGTCTGACCATTTGCACAAAGGACGGACAGAAGCTCATGGATCTCATTGGATTTGCACAAAGGACAGACAGAAGCTCATGGATCTCATTGGATTACCTGCTTCCATGAGAATTTCTCCTACCTTCTAATTCTTATTAATCCTCAGACCTCCAAATACTACTAGCCTCTGTAGAATGAAATGGAGAATCACACAAGCTACTCAAAAAAGACTTTCAATTGGATACATGCAAAAGAAAGAATATGTTGTTAATAATTGATTAGAAAATATTTTCTCTATTTCCCCAAATCAATACCAATTAGCTAGAAAACCTAGCAGAAATGAATATATTTTAGAAAAAATATATTTTATCAATATTGAATTCAATAGTGATAGGGAGTTTAAACAGCACAATAATCATGAAAGAAAGGGAGAATTTTTTCAGTGTTTTGTTTTTTCTTAATGAAGAATACTTTTATATCATATAATAAACCACAGTTTGATTTATTCAGCCTCCTATTAATACCAGGGTTTACGTCTTGTTGTTTTAATTTTAGAGTTGTGGGATAAATGTTAAGATTTGCTACATAAATAAATTGCACCTAGTTAAGCTAAGCTTCATCAGTGATGGAGAATTAAAATCCTTCCCAGACACCCAAACTCTATAAGATTACACTACTTCTAGACCAGCTCTACAGGAAATAATTAAGAAGGTATTAACCACAGAAGGAAAAAAAAAAAGAACAATCATGCACTTTGCAAGAGTACAGGCAAACACAGAGCCAACAGAACATACAACACACCTGCAAAATTGAAAATTCACACGTATATTAACACAAGAGTTAAAAGAAAATAAAACAGGCTTCTAAGAGCCTTACGACAGAGGTAAACTCTCATGTTTCAATAATCAGTCTAAAGGTAAATGGAATAAATGCACCACCGAAAAGACAATCTGGATAAATTGTCAATCTGGATAAAAAAGCACAACCCAACAATATGCCACCTCCAGGAACCACATATCACTACAAAGGACACTCATAGATTCAAAGTTAGATGATGGAAAGTGAGCTTTCAGGCAAACAGAAAATTTAAAAAGGCAAGAGTGCTATTTCAATATCAGACAAAACAGCCTTCAAGTCATCAAAAATGTTAAAAGATACAGAAGGACACTACATGGTGATAAAATGTTCAATCCACCAACAAGAAATATCCACCTAAACATATATGCACCCAATATAGGAGTACCAGGATTTATAAAGCAACTACTAAATAAACTAAAAGAGGATATTGATATCATAACTGGGGACTATATCCCCCACTAACAACCCTAAATAGGTCATTGGGAGGAAAAAACCAATAAGGAGATCTGGAACCTCAACTTGATGCTTGATCAAATGGATTTAATAGATATCTACAGAACATTCCACCCAACAACCACAGAATATACATTGTACTCACTACTACATGAAACATACTCCAAGATCGACCACATTCTCAGCTATAAATCAAATATCAATAAATTTCATAAGATCAAAATAATACTATGCTTCTTCTCAGACCACAGTGGAATAAAAAATAAATATCACCACCAACAGGATCCTCCCAAAACACACAAAGACATGAAAACTAAACAACATACTACTGAATAACTCCTGGGTCAACATGGAAATCAAGGTAGAAATTAAAAGATTCCTGGAAATAAATGAATAAAGACACATCTTAAAAGAACCTGTGGGTTGCCATGAAAATAGTACTAAGAAGAAAAGGTATAACTCTACACACATCAAGAAAAAAGAAAGTTCACAAATAATAGCCTAACATCCCACCAAAGGGAGATGGAAAGGCAACACCACCAAAACTCTAACTTCAGCAGAAGAATTCAGAGCACCAAAATAAAGGCCCAATTACAGGACAGAGAAGAAAAAATATCATATAAAAAATCCAAAACAAAAAGCTAGTTCTTTGAAAGGATAAATAAGATTGGTGGACCCCTAGCCAGACAGTCCAAGAAAAAGAGAAAACACACACACACACAATTAGAAATGCAAAAGATGAAGTCACAAATGACCCCAAAGAAATTCAAAAGATTGTCAGAGATTACTATGCACACCTGTATGGAAACAAACTTGAAAACCTAAATGAAATGGAAAATTTTCTGGCATCACACAACCTCACAAGGTTGAAACTAGAAGAAATAGACAAATTACAGTCCAGAAAATTGACTTCATAATAAGAAAGCTACCTACAAAAAAAAAAAAAAAGTCATCTCCTTGATGAAAACAGGTACAAAAATTCTCAACAAGATTCTAGCAATCAGGTCCAACAACACACCTCAAGAATTATCCACCATGATCAGGTAGGCTTCATTCCCAGGATGCAAGACTGGTTCAGTATCCACCAGACCATAAATGTAATTCAATACATCAACAGATGTAAAAAGAAGAACCACATAATTATATTGTTAGATGCAGAAAACACTTTTGACAAAATCCAACATACCTTCT